ATTATTATTATTATTATTATTATTATTATTATTATTATTATTATTATTGTTAAAGCGGGTCGTAGGCTGTTGTTGTCGTTGTTGAAGTAGTCGTTCATTACAGCTCATGATGATGTACATAGTTAATCTCAAACGATAACTGTGCGCATAATTGTTTCTCATTTTTCCAAAATCGTTGTGTTTGCTTAACCTCGATAAATTACACTTCTTATTTCTGCTGATTATGGCAACCAATTCAGTGCAAACTATCAGTTGTTGATTATCGCAGCTGATGCATTGACTATGACAGGGTCATTTTTGTAGGATAATTATTATTTTTGCTATTATGATAGTTGTTTGTCGTAGTTGCTATCATTTGGTTTGCTTTCCTTTGGTCATAGCCTCATTCATGACTATAGTCTTTCTATTATAGCTTCCCTCCAACAACAATTAAGGTGACTATGTTATAGGTGACCTACGGAGAGGCCAAGGCTATGCCTTTCTGAAAGAATGCGTTTTAACCTGAATACGAAGAACAACCGGACTTGTTAGGATTCAACAGTGGTGTATAGAAGAACAATTAAGGAAAACGGAAAAAAGTAAAAATCAAATGGTTGTGATATTGCATGATTGAAGGAAGTGAAAAGTAAGTAGAAAATTGAAGAGCGAGGGTAAGCAAGGAAGTGAAGGAGAGGAGTGAAGGTTAATGGAAAAGAGAAAAGAAGGAGAATGGAAAAAATGAGTGAATGAGAGGAGTGAAAAATAATGTAAAAAGACAGTGAAAGAGAGAAGTAAAGGAGAATGGGAAAAAGAAAGTGAGGGGAAGCAAAAGGAAGGAGAACGAAAAGGAGGAGGAAAATGAGGAGGAGAGGAGTTGGATGACGAGAAGAAAGGGTGATTGTAACTGGTTCATTTATGGTATACATCTTTTTTTTTTTTGATCTCGTACTTCTTGCAAAATCATTGATGTCATTGTTAGGGTAATAATGTTATTATTATTATCATTAGTATTATTTTCAAGGTTGCCGGCGTTCGGGACGGGCCGAACGCCCGAACCCGAACGCCCGAACGTACGGAACCCCTTCGGAAGGCGTTCTACCGTTCGGGCCGAACGCGGACCAAAAAAAAAAAAAAAAAAAAAAAAAAAATTCAAAAAATTCCGCAAAAACAAAAAGTTATGGAGAAAACTAAACTAAACAACATTTGCCTGGGAAAAAAAAAAAAAAAATTTACCAAAATTGAATTAAAAATTAAATACAGAAAATAAACACCATGATAAAAATAAGAAAAAATAAAAAGAGAATTAAAATCAGTGAGTGTGCCAGCACCTTTTCGACACCACCATCTTAACCGATTTTTAATTTTTTTTGGCATTGACAAATGCCCTGAAAATTTACAGATATGTATCTTACATAATCAATAATTCATTAAACATTTTTCAAAAAATAATAATTCTTTTTAGGCCCCGAAATAAAGTGAAAAGAAAAAGTTAAAACTTAAAAGTGAAAAAAAAACAAAATAGTGAGTGGGCGAGCACGTTTTGACACCCCCATCTTTGACGATTTTTAATGTTTTATTGGCTTAGCCTAATGGCTTCAAAACTTATAGGAGTGTAGGTTACATCATAGAGAACTTACAAAAAAAAATTCAAAAAACAAAACTTATTTTGGGGCCCCGAAACAATTTTTGGCAGGGGCCGAACCTGGAGGTGTTCGGCCCCCGAACGGGACCCCGAACGTTCGGCCGTTCGGGGGCCAGCCCAGGGGCCCCCGAACGTTCGGTCAGGTAACCCTCATTATTGTTATTTTTATTAGTATTGTCTTTATTATTATTATTGCTATTATTTATTACTTTATTTTATTGAATTATTATTATTATCATTATTACTATTAATTAACATCATTATTATATGTTGGAGAAAGGTCAAAGATGGAAGAAAGTGAGGCATTGGAAATGAGAGAGTCAAATGTTACTAACAATGATGTCTACCTCATTCATTCTTCCTTCATTTTATCCTCTCACATACTTATTCCCTTAACCATGATTGCATAATTGTGTTTTTTCATTTGAAAAGTTTAAGATAATTCTGGTATTATCAAATTTAGATCTCATACTATATTTTCCTAGACCAAACACATTCAATAATAGAGTGATTCTGAGAGCTCTATCGGAGTTAAAGAGGGACTCTGAAGGCAGAAGGTTCTCACACAAAGGCACTAGCACAAACAAAAATAGTTGAGCAGTCTACTGTTTAAAATATAGTAAAGAACCCATAATACCCGAAGTTAATTAAAAATCATATACTCGATTCACAAACATTGCTTTAGTAGTTCTTGTATTTGCTTGAAGTCGTGTAAACHAAAAATTAATTAATAAATATGATGCAATACCAACTCATTCTTATTCAAAAAACATTTGAATCAAGTTATCCCTGGTAACTAACATGAGCATAAAAAAAGTAAAAATAGATTAAAAAAACTAGGCTACCAACCAGACCGCTCGGGTCCCGAATGACCAGCCCGTGCAAGAACCAAAGAAGGTCAAAAAAAAAAAAAAAAAAAAAATCAAAAAAATATATTATGCAAAAAAAATGAACTAACTAGGCTACCAGCCGGGCCACCCAGGTCACCTTATTTTCCTAGGCGGTCCGACCCTGCAAGGACCAGGGAGGTTCAAAAAAAAATAATAATAATAAAAAAAATCCGAAAAACTACTATGTTATCTAAAAAAATAAACTGAACAATTTTTGCCTCGGGATCATATCGGAATAATTCACCAAATTTAAAATAAAAATTTAAATTAAAAAATAATTTTTATTTTTTTATTTTTTTATATCTTTTTGCCCCGGTCGCGCAAGTGGACCTCGACCACTCTGGTAGCCTAGTAAACTAAACAACTTTTGTCTGAGGGTTGCATCGAAATTCTACACCAAAATTTAGAATGAAAATTAAAATAAAATACTAGGCTACCAGAGTGACCTGGATCCACTTACCCGGTCAGGCCAAAAAGAAATAAAAAAATAAAAAAATAAATATTTTTTTAATTAAACTTTTTATTTTAAATTTTGTACAGAATTTCGATGTGACCCCAAGGCAAAAGTTGTTCAGTTTATTTTTCTGTACAAAGTAGGTGTTTTTCGGATTTCTTGGATTTTTTTTTCTCTTTTTTTGCTGGGACCTACCCTGGACCTTACCTGGTCGGGCCGCCTGGGAAAATAAGGTGACCCGGGCGGCCCGGCTGGTACCTTAGATAATTTATTTTTTTTTTTTTTGTCGAGACGGGCAAGTGACCCCAGGCCACTTTGGCAGCCTAGTAAAGAGCAAATAAATCAAGGCAAAAAAAGATCATCAAACAAATATGAGATTGAATCCTAAGGTATTCCTAGAGTGTATGCATACCTCTGTAAGTAATTAAGTACAACCTAGCAAATTTTGGCCCTAAAAGGCGTTTGTATTTGACCGGCCGCCGACCAACAAAGAAAAGATAGCAATGTTTAATAATGACTTTTTAGTCATCTTTCTTATAAATGTCAATATCTTATCACTTATATGTGGAGTGATTTTGAGCACTTCAAAAATATATGATTATTCATCCTGAGCTAGGCTACTAGAGTGGCGCGGGGTCATTTGCCCGGCCGGGCGAAAAAAGTAAAAATAATACTAAAATAATAATAAACTAGCTACCAGTCGGACCCGCAGGGAAAATCCTACAAAAAAAAAAAAAAAAAAAAAAAAAAAAAAAAAAAAAAAATTAAAAAAAAAAAAAAAAAAAAATTTTTTTAAAAAAAAAAAAAAAAAAAAAAAATTTTTTTTTTTTTTTTTTTTTTTTTTTTTTTTTGTTCCGGCAGAACAATTGGCCCCGGGCCACTCTGGTAACCTAAATAATAATATATTTTTAAATTTTATTTTTTATTTTAAATTTGATGAAGAATTTCGACGTGATCCGACGACAAAAGTTGTTCAGTTTATTGTTCTACATAACATAGTTTTTTCGGATTTTTTCTAGGCTACCCGTCGGGCCATCCAGGTTACCCTATTTTCCAGGGTCCCAGCAAAAAAAAAAAAAAAACACGAAAAAAAAACTATATGATGCAGAAAAAAAAAAAAAAAAAAAACTATGTTATGCAGAAAAATAAACTGAACAACTTTTGTCTTAGGATCACATCAAAATTCTTTATCAAAGTTAAAATAAAACTGTTAATTAAAAAATATATATATATTTTTTTTTTTGCCCGGGCGTGCAAGTGGACCCGGGCCACTTTGGTATCCTAGGATTTTTTTAATCTTTTCTTGTAAGGACCTTCCTTGGTCCTTGCAAGGGCTGGCGACACGGGACCCGGGCGGCCCGACTTGTAGCCTAGACCATTTGTGCTTAATGTGTGTTGGTTGGGTTATCATAGCTTGGGACAGGGTTGCAACCTTTCAGGGCTCTGATTAGGAGTACGGGGCCTGAACATTTCTTTGCGTGATTTTCTATAGGGTGATATCTGTTTAATGTTTGTTTTCTGACCTGGGCAGAATCCGGAGATGTGGACCCGGCAGGTAACGGTACCGGATGGCAATAGGACCACAGTAGGAATCAAGTGTGAATGAGTAGGAACCGGTGAGATATCAGTCGGACTAAGTTACGGACATGCAACAGTATAGGTATATAAGTGTTGGGTCTAACGTCAACACCCGCTGTATCATTTCCGGAGATGAGGAGAAGGGCGAAGATGGCGGTGGGAACGGGGAAGAAGGTTTAGGCGAGGGAGAAGCAGGTGGATCCCCCTGAGGAGAGCCGCGTGGCGGCGGCCGAAACCGGTTGGGGTGTCATACCCACCGGAAGCACAGCATGATACTTCAACTTCACTTTGGATATGCTCTGCATTGAAGAAGTGCTATGTTTTGCAATATTACGCTTTTCATGTGTACCGTGTATGCTCATTACTGTGTACGCGTGCGACTCAAGTATTGCATTTGAACACATCTGCAACATCTGTAAGGCGCATGTTAACCCGTCTGGAGACGATTTGCTAGGCGACGTGTGAGCAGTAAGTCATGATACTTTGCGAGATACGATCAAAGGAACCACGAGAGTTTTGCGATTGTAAGTGACGACGGGATAACAACGACAACGAGGCGCAGAGGTAAGATCAAGACAAGAGGTGCGTAAGAGTTACGCGAGTTTGTAAGGATGGGCGACCTCAATCAGCGAGAACCAAGATGCGATCACGGGCGTGATGGATATCATAGGGGAAGGGACTCACGACGCGACGAAGGCAGAGAGAGATACAAAGGGAGAAGTCGAGACGACTATCCAGAAGACCAGGGAGAACGGCGTCATGGTACGGGAGATTACGGAAGGCGAGCACCCCTCATATGCTTCTCATGTGGGGAACCGGGGCACTACAAGAATCAGTGCTGGAAGAGAACTGGTGAAGGCCACGTGCGTGGAGGCGCGGGCACATCTAGCGGTCAGAAGGCAGCCTCGGAAGGTGACGAGAGCATGAAGAAGCAGATCCAAGAAATTGGAGCATCAATGGCAAGCTTCCAGAAGTACATGGACAGGGAGAACAAGAAGAAAGCGGAAAAGGAGAAAAGGAAAAAGGAGCGTGAGGAAAGGCAACTCAGGGAAGAAGCTCAGTGTGTGGTGAAGGAGGAGGAGAGGCAAGCGAGGGCAAGGCGAGAGGCACGTAAGCAGGCGAAGAAGACGAAAGCGGAAGAGGAGAGACTCGAGTTCAGGAAGGCATTAAGGATGCACATTGTGTCATGCGTAGAAAGTCTCAAGGAGGAATTGCAAGAGGAAATGCGACGGAATATGCAAGCGTTTCACTCGATAATCAAGGGTAAGCAAGCGGTATCACCATCAGGATCCGAAGGATTCTACACCAGTGATTCGACAACGAACCAGGTTGAGGAACTGAGTCAGAGAACGGGGAATCTTGTCATTAGCGAGAAGCGGAAGCACAGCCCTGAGAAACAGATCGGAAGCAGCCCCCCGATGGAACTTCCCCCTAAACGGACGCCAAGGAAGTCGGGGATTAAGCCGGTGAAGCTTGCAGCAAAACTGCAAGCGACAACCAAAACCACGCCGAAGACAAAGACCGGCAAGAAGAGAGAGGGACAGACGACACCTAAGAGCTACACGCCAAGAAGAGGCACACCTAAGACAAAGATAGCCGTCGAGTTAGGGGCAGCCGGATGCGCCAAGTTTATCGAAGACAACATGCGTCATCTCGCGGAGTTCCAAGCGGAAGACCTGAAGCGTATGTGTAGACGTGAGGATGTTCAATATGGCAACAAAGTGATCGCAATGATCAACATAGCGGAGAAACGAGCGGAAGAAGCGTACGATGTGGAAGAAACGGATGCCAGCGGGAATGAAGGCTCGGCAGAAGAGGTGGAAGGAGTCGAAGGGGACGAAGTTAAGCAAAGCGAAGAAGAAGAACAAAACTAACTACCGGGAGAAGGTAAAAAGTTGTGGGGATTATGTCGATGGCTAATCCAACAACGCAAGCAGGCAAAGTACGATTTCACCATCAAAGTGCTTTACAGGACAGTCGTGACACTAATGGGAGTGACGGGGCAAGTGAAATGGCTATCCAAATACACAGCGTCCTGGCTTCGATTGTACAACAAGCATGGGATAAGCTACCTAGAAGTACATAAGGGAGTGTATGCTCTGACCTCACCGAGATGCAGAGCCCAGTATATTGGGCAGACTAACAGGGACGTGAATACAAGATGGAGGGAGCATATGAACGCACGAGGAAGAAAGGAGAAGAATACGCACCTTTATCAGTGGTGGCGGAGCTTTGGAGCTGAATCCTACACGATACTACCGGTGGACGAAGGGGAAGCGCAGGAGCTTGTCCAGCTCGAACAGTTGTATATAAGAAGATGGTCACCGTCGCTCAACACCAACAGAATCAACAAGAGACAGAAGCGAAAGAAGAAAGCACGAAGAGGGAAACCTGAGAGAGTACGACAAAGAGGAGGCAAGGAACCACGGTGTTGGGGACAAGAAGTGGAGATTGTCAAGTTCCGTAGTAGTGAAGACGAAGCGTGGCAGAGTAGCATCCGTAAGATTCTGGAGGAGAAGGAGGGAGAGGGAGAACGAACATTCCAACTTTTCACGACGGGAGGTAACAGGTGGTACGAAGGTTGGCAGAAGGTAAGGAAAACGTTTGGGAGGACGAAAGTGATATTGGAAGGAAAAACTACAATATATTGGAAGGAAAGACTACAACATCAGAAAGTGTCGAGTCGCGTTCGAGCACGGTAGCAATATCGAAGTAAAATATCTCCGGATGTGGAGTCCGCAGAGCGGACCGGACAAGCGTGTTCTGATTCAATTATTACGGAATCCAAAGAAGTTACAAGAGATGCGGAAGCTTGAAGTCGAGGCGATGTTCAGATTGTACAGAGCCGCAAAAGATTTCGAGCAGAAATCCACAAGATGTTACCTGAGAAGACTGCTATCAAGGGTAATCAAATAAACTAGCGGTTGGATCATGGGAGCGGGCCTAAATTTGACGATCGGGTGAAGTTGGCAGAGGTGAGAAAAGTTGTGAATGACAAGATCCAGGGATTGGAGTTACCAGATTGTATGGCGAAGCACGCAAGGAGGAAGGTCCGAACTGTCTGGGCGAAGAACCAATCAGTCGCGGACATACTGCACAACCAGCGGCATTACGCCCGGGCTACGGTGTCCACGTGCACTTGTGCAGGTCTCCCCTATCCAAGGATAGGGCAGCATGTGAGGTTTCGCCTACAAGAACTGGAAGGAGTACCACCAATGATGCACAATGCTAACAACATACCAAGGGCACAGCACCCGGATCGACTAAAGTTGTTGAGCAGGGAAATGGAGGAGACTTTTGGAATTTGGAAGAATCGAGGGGAACGGGAAGTTGAAGTGGCAACCAAGGAGGTGGCTGGGTGCCTGACGGGAGCAAAAAAGTTAAGCGACAAGTGTCTGGACGTTGGCACAGTGAAGGAATGGAGAACAAAACTTGACGGCCTGGTCAAGACGCCGCTTGACCGCAATCAAGGGGAGACATTCATCATGTGCCCCTGCGTGTACCATGAGGCCATGATGAATATTTTTGTGACAAACCCAGGTTACAGGTTTGTGACCAACGATGAAGAGGAGGTGAAGAAGGAGATGCGGGATGCCTTTAAGGAAGGAGGGATCGCGAAGTTCACTAGGATGCAGGCAAAGGGAAGTTTTGGGCAAGCATACGTGCAGCCGAAGCACAAGGACGTGGAGAGGTACCGTCCAATCTGCCCTTCCTACTCAGATCCTACAACAGGAACAGGCAAGTGCGTGGCAAAGGCTTTGAACCATCTCGTGTTCAATTTGTCGGCCGATTGGCACTTCAATCTGAGATCGGTCGCGGACGTGGCCAGTAGGGTGCAACGTATCAACGAAAGTTGTGCGAAGAGCACGACCGCAGAGGTACAGTTAGTTGTCATGTTCTACGATATTAAGGACATGTTCAGCAAACTGCCACATCAAGAGATCATGGACTCGGTCAACTGGATAGTTGACCATTACGTCAGCAAAAGGAAGAAGACCATCAGGGTGAACACCAAGGGGAGAGGACGTTCCTTTGGGAGGACAACAGGCGCGGACCACAGGAGGGAATTAAGCTTGGAGGATATCAGGACTTTCGTCAAAATAGACATGGAGAACACTTACGTGTATGCAACGGGAGTCCTCTTGAAGCAGGTGATCGGGATACCAATGGGTAAGAGCACGAGCCCACCATTGGCATGCATTCTGTGCGCGCACGCAGAATAGAGATACCTGACCAAGATGAGAGGACTGAGGCAGAGGATATACGGGATGAGGTTGATGAACGACGTTGGTCTTATCATCAAGAAGAGGAAAGGTGACGGAAGGGAAGAAGAGGTCAGGGAAGCATTCGAACAATGTTATCCCAGAAATCTGACTCTAAAAAAAACTGATGATGGACAGGGAAGCTGGGACTTCCTGGGCTCGGGTTGACAGTGAAGTCAACATATCCATTTCTGGGCAGTGTGCAGATGCTAAAGAACGAGAGTACAGTCTGGGAGGGGAAAGGCTTGGAATTCAAGAATGGACAAGAGTACCAATCGTGGGGGAGCAAGCAACAGAAGAGCGCAGCCGTGACAAGCTATTTGCACCGCATTGACACCAACACGACGGTGCGAACGAAAATACCAGGAAGAGTGGTGACGCTCACCCAAAGGGTTGAGTAAGAAGAAGTTTCCGGAGGAGTTCGTGCGAAGGAGAGTCAAGAGATTCAGCATTGGCAAGGAGAAGATATGGCAGGTGACACGAGACCTGATCTGCAGTATGGGAAGTATAGCTGGAGAAGTACTGTGAGGTAACTTATAAGATAAGGGGAAGCTGAGTGTAGAATAGAGTAAGTAGGAGCACGAGGTTTGAGTGATTGTCCACTCAACTTAATCCCAGTTTGATGTTTGTTTTTTAGGGATTTGTTTGCTTGGGACAGGGTTGCAAACTTTCAGGGCTCTGATTAGGAGTACGGGGCCTGAACATTTCTTTGCGTGATTTTCTGTAGGGTGATATCTGTTTAATGTTTGTTTTCTGACCTGGGCAGAATACAGAGATGTGGACTCGGCAGGTAACGGTACCGGATGGCAATAGGACCACAGTAGGAATCAAGTATGAATGAGTAGGAACCGGCGAGATATCGACCGGACTAAGTTACAGACATGCGGCAGTATACGTATATAAGTGTACACTGTGTTTTCGATAGTCTTTTTTTGGGTCTGGCGTCAACACCCGCTGTATCATTTCCGGAGATGAGCAGAAGGGCGGAGACGGCGGTGGGAACGGGGAAGAAGGTTAAGATGAGGGAGAAGCAGGTGGATCCCCCTTAGGAGAGCCGCGTGGCGGCGGCCGAAACCGGTCGGGGTGCCATACCCACCGGAAACACAGCATGATACTTTGGATATGCTCTGCATTGAAGAAATGCTATGTTTTGCAATATTACACTTTTCATGTGTACCGTGTATGCTCATTACTGTGTATGCGTGCGACTCAAGTATTGCATTCGAACACATTTGCAACATCTATTGTTGATCAATAATTGAGAATTAAGTCGTATAAAGTTAAGAGGTTGAGGTTTTTTTTTTTGGATTTGTGAACGCAGCACTCTATGATGTTTGAGACAAAGTAGAATTTAAAGTACCTGTAGGTACACGAGGAGATTATTATGATCGTTATTGTGTGTACATTAAGGAAATGCGACAAAGTTTTTGAATCATTGTCAAATACTTGAATCAAATTACTACCGTCTTCCCCCAAACATAAGGCATATGTGTTGTAAGCGAATACAATGCATACCGTGCGTTGTATTCGTTCACAATGCATATGCGTTATGTTCGAGTGAACAAGATCAACTTTGTCTGCACAAGGGGGTCGGGTCCAGACTAAGTAGGCTCAACTCTGGACCATGGCTGGGGGGGCCTCAGAGCCTTGACAAAAAGGTAATAGTAAGGTAGTGACATACCTTTCCATGTTTTGGGTTGAGTTTCATTCCTTTCCCCTATTTGGGAGAGACGGTTAACGAAGGCCTCAATTTTCAGACCACTTTTCATACCATTTATAACAAAACCCAAGGGTCATTTTAACTAAACTTGCCACCACTTCTAAGAGTGGAGATCATACTAACTACTTATAAAAAAACAAATTGAAAAAAAAAACTTCTAAAAACCTATAAAACAGCAAGGTAAAAGTGTGTTTTCATGCAAAATTCACTTTTTTTAATTTTTAGGATTTTCTGGATTTTTTAGGGTTTGCCAAAACAGTCAACTACAATACACCAACAAACACCAAACTTGGTACACGGAGACCTTGACTTAAAATAAAACAGGGCAAAAAAAAAAAAAACAGAAAAAACCTAGGCTACCAACCGGGCCGCTCGGGTCCCGGGTGGGCAGCTCGTGCAAGGACCAGGGACGGTCCCAGCCCAAAAAAAAAACAAAAACTGAAAAAAAATCCGAAAAAAAACTATGTTATGCCGAAAAATAAACTGAACAACTTTTGCCATAGGGTCACATTGAAATTCTGCACCAAATTTAGAATGAAAAATAAAATGTTTATTTTTTATTTTTTATTTTTATTTTTCAATTATTTTTGGCCCGGCCGGGCAAGTGACCCCGGGCCACTCAGGTAGTCTAGGAAAAAACTAAAAAAAATCATCTTTAATGCACTTTTCAGGGTTGAGGAGGTTAACCAAGGTTGAACAGTGGGGGTCCATGTTAACCGCTTATGGTACTTGGGTCTTTGCTCCACTCCTCAACAAATATGCAAAATGCGAATGGATCTTCCACCAGACCGTGGGTAAATACAACCCCTTTCTTTTTTGTCTCGGTGACCACGGTAGTGCAGCGAGACATTGGTGAGTGACTTTCTTATTTTCCCACTTTCTTGGTCGCGCCACTTCCTTGGTTGTTAGAAGCGCCTTCGTGCACGGAGAGAGAGAGAGAGAGAGAGAGAGAGACCTGCAACGCATGTCAGTGACATGGAAGGCAGTTTGTTGCCTGCAGAAGAGCATAAAGGGCACAAAGAGAGAGAGAGAGAGAGAGAGAGAGAGAGAGAGAGAGAGAGAGAGAGAGAGAGAGAGAGAGAGCACGGGTATCTGTGATTACGGGCTTGCACGGACCTGTCCCGTTCACAAGGACAAGAACGGAGCAGACATTGACCTTCGGATTAAAAAAATTGTTATATTCGAATACAAAAGTTTTCTCGTCGAAAAATTCAAATATAACGCATGTGCGTATTATTCAAATAGAACGCACATGTGTTATATTCGAAATGTCATTGTATTCGAAGAAAAAATTCTAACTTTCAAAAAATCCGTTTTTTAATAAACTTGAATACAACGCATATGCGTTATCTTCGGGGGAAGATGGTAATGGCATGATCAAAGCGGATTGTAAACTTTATCCTCCTTCACGCTCTCAAATAAAACAATCTATGAAATCCTTAATTCATCAATTTAAGTTCTACATAAAGGGTGTGTCTGTACCTGTTTTTTCTACCTACACGTACGTAGAAGCACCCGAAGGAGAATGTTTTGTATATTTAGTTAGCAACAGAACCAATCGTCCTTATCTTTGTGAAATTCAAACACCTAGTTTTTATTATTTTTAAGGTCAAGATTTTAAGTTGAAACATTACATGCGCGAAAATGTGGTTACTTTCATAGGTACTCAAGATATTGTGTTCGGAGAAGTAGATAGGTAGCCACAAATAAAAATAAATAATAATAAAAAAAATCACAGCAAAAAAATCAAAACCTAATAACAAACGTAAACCTAAAGCACTACAAAAGATTAAAACCGGAACTAAAACTGAATGAATTGGGTTTCTAGCACGTATAACTATAACGCTAGAAACTGAAGTGATGCTTGAAAAAATAGAAAAGAACATCACTGTAGTGATTCATTTTTCTCAAGCTACGACCTTTGTTTTGTTTTTCTGAGTATATTAGATTGCTTTGACTTTGAGAAATCGATCATCATAAGCTTCGTAAAAAAAAAACAAAAATGGTAATGGTTTTTAGTCCACTAAAATATTTTGTTATTATTCACTTGATTCATTTTCATATAAAAAACTTGTATCTTTCTTTTACGATTTTATTTTTGTTTATGCTACTCACAATTAGTTCAGTTTTGCTTTTATTTCATTTTGTCGTCATGAATGAAGGTCATTTAATACCCAATGATTTACAATTTTTTGTTGAAATGATTTATGAATTCATTTTATATTACGTTCATGGACAAATAAGCGGTGCACCAACAGTTAAACCTAGGGAGCACGGCGTACGTGTACATGGGTTGCGCATACACGCGTACACGTAGTCCTATACGCGACACGTACACTCGTCCGTGGGAATACGTAAAAAAAAATGAAAAATAAAATCATAAAAAAATATAAAAAACAAGTATGTTATGCAAAATGATATTTTAAACAACTTTTATTGAAGACTTATCTCAAAATTTTGTACCAAAGTCAAATCAAAAATCAAAGACACAAACAATAAATAGATTGAAATTGAAAAAAAAAAAAGAACTTGCGAAATGCCCTCATAAGTTGAGATATATATCAAAATGCACCCGAAAGATGTGGGTAGTGCGGAATGTCCTTTTGGGACGAAATCTTTGTATTATGCCCCTGTCAGGCAGGTGTGCAAATTTGCGATCTTGACCTCGTCGTTTGGGCATGGCCTTTTGCAAATGGTTCTTAGGAAAGTTGTTAAGTTTTGGGTATTTTTCAACGTTCGATGGTACCCGGCAGGGTTATATCACAACTTAAAAGATATGGGATCAAACCGACGCAAGGGGTATTTCACAATTTTTTCTTTTTGTCGTAGGGGCATTCCGCTCTACCCACATCTTTGACGGGCGTTTTGGCATATATCTCAACATATGGGGGTATTTTGCAAATTATCCCTTAAAACAAAATTAGAAAAAAAACAGAAAAATAATGATACAAACAACTTTTGCCTGAGAGTCATCCCCGAATTCCCAACCAAACTCGAGTAAGAAATTAAAAACTAAAAAAAGGCAAGATTATTATAATAATTGAAAAATTAATTAAAAAAATATATATTTTTTATTGTTTTAAAGTTTTATTTAATTTTTTTTTATTTTTAAATCGAGCTTGGTTGGGAATTCGGGTATGACTCCGAAACAAAAGTTGTTTGTATCATTATTCTGCACAATATATTCTTTTTCTAGGAAGTTTTTCATGCTCGTTCGGGCCTGCATGGCCGGGCACCCGGGCATGATGCCCGGGGGGGTCCGACGCCCAGAGTACCCAAGCGTGCAAAAAAAAAAAAAAAAAAAAAAAAATTGCGTTGTCCCAGAGGATCTCAAATCCAAGTTCGTTTTATTTTTTTAGGTGGGATGTCAAGGGGGGGGGAAGGGGGTATAAATTATTTTTGAAGGGGCTAAGAGGGGTTAAAGGGGGTTCATTTAGTGTGATTTTGTTATTTTGTTTTTTTTCTCCGATTCGGTGAGGAATCCACATGTGACCTTAACCAAAAATTGTTTGTATTGCAATTCTACACAACATATTTGTTTTCTGAATTTTTTTTTTCTTTCGTTTTGTCTACTTTATTCATTCGAGCAACTAGAGGAAGTGTTGTTTGGAGAAGCAGTGTTGCTGAAAGTGCTGCTCGGAGGGGAGACACTGCTGGAGGAGGACAGGTAAGTGCAGCCATAGCCAAGGGTTGGGGGGGGTTTGCCCCACCCTTGTGCTGGTGCTGTGGCTGTGAGGATG